TCCGGACAGGCTGTCCAGCTTACCGCGATATCTGGAGAAACAAGGCGGCATGAAGCGCAAAGAAAGCTCTCTCGTGAGATGAGCGACAGCCTATCCGTGCTCGAGCGCAACTTGTCAAAGCTGAAGGTAGAGCGCGATATGACCTTGGCCGAGATGGAGGAGCTATCCGCGACCAAAGGGTGCGGATTCTATCTGGGACATTCTTCAATAATAACTGTTCTAACGAACGTCTCCTAGATCTCAATCCGCTGCGACTGACGGAGATGCTCCTACGAAGCTCGGTCGTGCTCTCTCAACGCGATTCGATAATATCAAGTCACAGTATGCTCATCAGCTCTTACCTCTGACGGAGCAGCGAGAGGCCCTGATGCGCGAAATCGACGACCTCAAAGCTTCGCGCGAGGCCTTTTTGGAAGAAACCACCATGCTCAATGCCCGCAATGAGGAGCTTGCCCAGCTTAACGCTCAGTACGCGCGCCGGGTGGAGTCTTCCGGTGCATCTCCGCAGGATCGTGGCAGCGATAGCTCCCATGACATCAAGGGAGATTTGACGGCAGATAAACTTCTCATGTTACAGAACTTGGCGTCGTCCATGTCGTCTTCTACGGTCGCTTTCACGGACGAGTCTGCAGACTCCAAATTCCACAAGGTGCACCGGCTCGATGTTCCCGATGTTCCCACCCCGCAACACAAGTCGAAGTTTGGGATGAAGTGGGGTGCTGCAAAGGCACCAAAAGACCAACATCCCATGGGCTGGTCGGACGGGAGCAAGAAGCAAGTTCGTTTAGAGCATGCATTCCAGCAGATCAGTGTTCTTCGTCCACAGAGGTGCGATCATTGTGGGGACAAGATGTGGGGTTCTCAGCTTCGGTGTTCTCGTGAGTTTATGTTCGTTGCTATCAAATGACACTCGTTGATAAAACCGGTCACAGATTGCAATATCGCAGTGCACACGCGTTGTGTACATCATCTGCATTTGCAGTGTTCGCAGCCCGCGAACGGTCGTGAAGAGGTACAATCAATTCCCTCTATCCCAGTGCCCATCAGTAAGTACCCGCTTAGACTCAGCTTTCATGCGCTGTTGAATCTTACGCGTGACTTTTCAGTCCCTTCAATGTTCGGACGTGATCTTGCTGAGCAAGTGCGTGCGGACGGAAAGGATTATACACGATTGGTTCCCGTAATCGTTGATAAGTGCATCGACGCTGTCGATTTCCACGGTACGCTTCCCACTCGTTGCATGACAGACGTATACTCATCCCCAGTAGGCTTGGATTATGAGGGCATTTACCGGAAAACCGGCGGCTCAAGACTGTGCAAGGTCATCACTCAGCTCTTTGAGCGAGGAGATTACGATGCCTTTGACCTGCGGGACGACGAGGAGTTCAACGACATTTGCAGCGTCACCTCTGTCTTGAAGTCATACTTCAGATCGTTACCCGACCCCCTCCTAACCTACGCACTTCACGACAAGTTCATAGAAGCCACTAGCGTTAAGGATGAGGCCGTCAAGACTGACATGATGAGGACCATTGTCTCCGAGCTGCCTGCAGAGCATTACCAGACAACTCGAGCGTTGATGCTCCATCTGCACAGGTGGGTATACAGGCTAATTTTCAATCAGCGGCTTGTAAGCTTACATCGACGTAGGGTTCGCGAAAGGAGCGAGGTCAATCTCATGCACGCTAGAAATATCGGTGTTGTATTTGGACGTGAGTCTGGTCTTTTTTGATCACTTATTCACATTTGATCAATTCGATGCTCCATAGCGACACTCATGCGATCGCGGGACCCCAATCAAGAATTCAGCGACATGGCTGGCAAAGCTCTCTCAGTCGAATGCCTCGTTGAGAACGCTCCGGCGATTTTCGAGAATTTCAGCTAAATACTAACCATTCACTCTCATGACGACCTGGATTGTTTATGACTATTCTATATCTCTTCGCCTTCACACGGTGTTTATATTGGGCTTGGGTCTTGCTTTATATCGCCACACCACACATTTCTCAGATTCCCTTGGACCAGCTATGTACATCACCCCACCATCATGCATACCCTCCCTCCATCCTCTTCTCTCCCCGACCTGTTATACTATCCTTGCTTCGTTCTTTCCATTGCTCCAGGCTGTATCATTCGTGTGTTTCCGTTCAATCATCTTTGCGTCTTTGATTCCTACTTTCGACTGTATCTATTCGGTATCAGTTGCCACTTTCATTTGTTCACTTTGTTTCATTAGATTAGTTTGTCTCGTTCACTGGTTGAGGTCTGCATTCATACTATCGTGCAATATTCTTGACTGTCGAATATACCACGGCTTGACTGTCATCGTATACCCTTAGTTCTACGCGGGAATGCAGAGACGAGACTTCGTGCATACAATAAGCAAAGCTACGAAATCAAATACGAGAAAGACATGAGAAGCAAGCCTCCGTTATCATGACACCGTCCATCGGAAGATACCCAGTACCGACCATTCACGAAAGTTACGCTTACTCAACTCGACTGGCCACCGCTCAAGAAATCCCTCGACCGCTGAGTCCTGTGGGTCTTGTTTGGATTCTCTGCTTTGAGCGTGCAATAAATGAAGTGTCGGCGAGGACCTGTGGTAGCTGCTGCCGCTGTCGCTGCAACGCGCGAGGTACCAAGAGGTTGTGCATCTGGCCCATTGCCTCGCATACCGAGGGAAAACATCCTGTCAAATACTACGGTGACAGCAATCAACTCAATACGGCCACAAGAATAGAAATGACAGAAGAACTAACGAGCAGCTGCGAATGCTTTTGCTGTGGCTTGACAGTTCAGGTGAGTGAGTTGAAGCGGAGGACTGACGCCTTCGAGCATGCGGAGGTATCGGAAGACCATGGATGGTTGGCAGGGACCTGTTTAAGAATCGTACGTATAAAATTAAGAGTACCCAAGCGAGGACAACACCAACCAAATCGAAACATAGCCTGGTAAGACTGACGCCACTTGTCGTCTAGAAGACGAGCGCAGATCGCCGGCTCTGGGCATGTCGGACACTGACACATTGGGATCAGCGTACAACGTGCAAGGGAAACGCTCATATGAACATACACATTGATACTCCTTTGCCATTTGTACGAGACCTAGCTTCAAGACTCGTTCCAAAAACCATGTCCGCCTGTTCAGAATGTTAGACATGATTCACTATTCGTCATATAGCTCGTACCGTTTCTCGAGCTTGAGCAGTGTCTCGGGACTGAGAGTACTCATCTCCTGTTCGGTCCATCCACCAGGGTTGTCCAACACGAAACGACTGGACTCGCGGTAGAGCTCCTCTTCTTCGAAGAGCTCCGCAATACGCATAGCTTTGATCGGGCGACCAGCAGCATGGGTAAGCAGAAAGTTCAGGCAGGCTTGTTGGAGCGCTGTCACAGAGAGTTTGTGGGAGATGTTCATGAGGCCTTCCACATTGTTCCAAGTGATCGTGCACACGAGGCTGAGGAACCGTGAGCCGTTCGTTATACATGGACTACATCGCGACAAGGAGCTTACTGTGGGTAGATCCATCTCAAGAAATCATGGAATGTACTGGCCTGTACATCCCCGCAAGTGTTCATCACACGTTTGTTGCAATATACAAAGCGAAGATATACCTTCTCCTCTTTCAAGACGATGACAGCGTCTTGTCCACGAGTCTTCGTCTTCCTTTGCACCTTGGCTTGCGCTTTCTTCTCCTTGAGATTGATAGCACCAGCTGCTTTCTTCAATGTCTTCTCTGTGTCAGAACTTTCTGTCAACGTTGACTGCGAGCCACTTTGGAGAATATCAAGACTCTTCTTTCGTTCTTCCTCCTTCGCTCTCTCGTCTTCGCCTGGAGCAGCGCCATTGTCCGTATGCTCGTCTTCGCTGTCTTTGAAATCCATATCGATCTCGGAATCGTCGCCATATATGTCAGGGTCTACAGGTGCGAAGACGATCTCCGTGCAGGTATCGGAATTCGGATTTTCGCCGGGTACGGTGGGTGGCTGCGGAATCGTGATGACGGAAGACGTAGATGTGGGCCGTCCTGTCTCTGCCCAGCTCCCACTCAATGCCGCTTCGAAGAAGGGAGACGCAAAGTACAGCACTTCTTTGTGAGCCCTTTTGAATCTCGTTTCAGTATGCTGTATTCGGCGGTATCTCATCCACAAGCCTACCAGAACGTGGTGCCTTGCACGATGATCTTGACCGTTCCAGGCATTCTACTATTCTTGGTAAAGGTATGGTCGATGTCGATAGAATCATCATAGTCTCCGTCGGTACTCATGTCGGAGATAAGGTCGTCTGTCTCGCATTCCTCGAGGTTCCAAGGTGGAGATCCTGCAGAGCGGAATATACCTGCCGCCGCCGCATGAGTTTCGGTTGGAGAGCTGAGAGCAGCAGACGGGTTGGGTCCACGTGAGTTGCGAGCGATGAGGATATGAGGTGGATGTGTAGACATGGCTGTATGTGTATGTGTATGAGGGATAGTGAGCAGCTCGAGTCAAGAACTGCTGCGCGCACCTCCTGCCCAGCGTTGGTGAGTATTTTGCTACCTGAACCTACACGAGACTGCTGCAGCGTGTGAGGCTTATCGCTGTCTCTAAGTGGCAGCGAGTGTCATTGAAGACCTGCAGCGGTTTCGACCACTGCCAAGGCAACGAATCGAAGACAGCCTGGCAGTGGGAATGATTTACCCGAGTCATCGGAAGCGCTCGCTACCAAACGCCGCCACGTGGATGTGGCGCTTGGTGTCGAGCTATATATGGTAACGCTCACCTATGGCTCTCTCTTTTCGCGACTCTCGATTCTCGAGCCAAGTGCAATGGCTCATTGCGACGGAGACAGCTCAAGCCTTCATGATGATGATTTTGTTGGATTTTTTGTGGGTTCATTGTCGATGTATCTTTTGTTTTACACTGAAATCCCTTGATACAAAATTCTCGATCATCCACTGATCAACCGCCTGATTTCTACCCAATCCTGATATAATTTATACCGATATCATCGTACGATACGGCGCTATAGTGTAGTGGTTATCACTTGGGATTCTGATTTCCGCTCCTTGCGATGCGACGTCGTATATTCCCATAACCCAGGTTCGAGCCCTGGTAGCGCCTGGTCGCGATGCTGAAGCAGTTTTGCTTTGTTCGGATGTTTTTTTCGTCTATTAGCACAAGTTGTTTGCAAGCACAAGTCGGAGCACGACATAAGAGGCTTCGGGAAGTGAACAAGTTTGGGACGCGTATGAGAGCAGACCAAGCGGTTGTCCACTGAGCTCGATCCTTCTTCCATTGCGATTCAGATCTCAGACTGTACTTTTCAAATTAGCTGCGACAATAATTATCGCAGTTGTGACACGGACTAGGAGGGCCAGATGAATACTTGCCGCACAACTCCATGGCAGGTCACCGGTGATCACTAGTCACTCACAGCAGTCAGTCGGATCGGAGAAGCTCATTGGAACGTGGAATATTCAAGAATGAAGCAGAGAACAGAACGAAACGACATTATCAGCTCTTCGACCTCTTGGCACCAGAACTAGCATCCTCTGCTTTTCGTTTCCTCTTTCTATCATCCTTCGACCCCGCCGTCGCTTCCTTCCTCTCTGAATCCTGCACTACAGCATCGGCAACTATCCTGCCCGATGTGTTGAGAAGTTCGTCGTCATCGCTCTCGCTTGGCTCCTCACCGAACACATCTTCCGCCGCATCCTGAGTACGCGAAGATATGGCCGTCCGGGAGTCGTGAGTCGCCGGTGTAATTGATACAGTTTGCAGATATTCGTCCTCAATGGCGAATGGTTCAGACTGCAGTGAACCGACAAGTGAGAGCATTTGGTTTGCGATGGTCAGACTACCAAAAAGGTCGTCAGAAGACAGAGGTCGATGATAAAGCAGGCTACATACCCAATCACACTGAACTCCAGCTGACCACTTGATCCACCCAGCACAGATCCCGTCAGCTTGTGAACCCATTTCCCACTCCCCTCGACTGTCTGATTCTCCCCTTCCTCCTCGCCCTCTGCTTGATCCTTTTCCACCTCCGCACCAAACTCCGGGTCGTTCTCTGCAGGCCCATATTCAAACTCCCAGCTTTCCGTCGGTATGTGTCTCCGTGGTATTGATACGTTAAATGTGCGATGCACCAGGAGAGAAATGTGGTCTGGTGAACAGAGGTTCACTTTCCCGGCTGCAGATATGATAATGTCAGCCTAGCAATCACATAAAGCAGAGAACACGTACAAAGTTTCATGCCGACTTGCGGTGACCATACCATCGCCTCGAAGACGACGGTAACGTTGGAGAATGGGCAGTCCGCTTTGATAGTCGCGGCGGATTCCAAGAATTGCAGGTTACTATGCGACAGCACAACACCCTGCAGAGCCGGTATGTATCTTCAAAGAATGCACATAAGTCTGTGAACACACAAAATGTCGAATCTGCGACGCACCTCATGACCATAGAGTCCAACATCTCCTCAGCACCAGCCCTCAGATTACTTGCGAACACAGGAGGTATCGACAGAGCCAAAGTCGCTTGGAAGACTCTGAATTCTCCCTCGCCATCTCCTGCCTTGTCCTTTCCTTTCCGCTTCTCTTTCTTCTCCTTGTGCACCTTTTTTGAAGCCTTCTCGATCTTTGACCGCTTGGTAGAGGGTTCACCGGCAGAGACTTCAATAGGCGCGTGTTTCCGCTTTTTGGCTGTTTCTTCGGACTTGACCATGGTAATGGAAGGAGGTCGGTTGTATTTAGGCAAGTGTACTGTGGGTATGATCGGCAAACGCGAGGTGAAGAGGTATGATGGTGGGTCAAGCTCTGGTTAGTGGTAGGTCGGTGCTGTGGTCAGGCTGGATCGTTAGAATTTTTGAGCGTCTGAGGCGCCACGTGGAGACATGCTCAGAGTGACACTGCGAGTGGTCTTCCGGCTCTTTCAATACATCCACCCACGTCCCCTCTCACTCCCTCTTCTGGCCCAATGGTACGTCCTCATACCCTGAGACAAATTTTCATATTGATCACTCGCGAACAGTCAGCCCCCAAAATCATTGTACAGATTGCGATAGCTGGTGCACAGATATTCGGCAGAGCGTTTCTTGCGGCGGGGAGGCAGGCAGTCCAAAGTGCGTATCATTGTTGGTATCTATTATATGGCGGTCTCTTAGTCTTGTTACCTCTCTCGAAAAACAAACAGATGCGAAGCACAGACCAGAAGGTGCAATGGGTGGATCTGACGTCGCGGGTATCCGGAACGCAACATCTGGGTCCATTACTGACAAGCTGACGAGAGAACATCGCATGACACTTGACGAGGCACATCTCATTCTGAATACGAAGAAAGAGGAGCCATTAGAGTCGATTCTGCAGGTGCGTGGTATTGCTCACGTATTCTTGAATGTCACTGATGCGTCGTCTCGGCACGTAGCATTACGAGCATCTGTTCAAAGCCAACTCACCACCAGTCGCGGAACCTGCTGCTGCCGCGCCAAAAGCTAAGGGAGGCAAGCAGCCACCACCACCCGCGCACTCACACTACGTACAGTCCAAGGTGGTACGCGCTCGAGAACGAATAGAGGCGGAGCTGCAAGGGGGTGTGGAACCCGAGCCACCTTCCTCTACAACGTCTGCGCCCCCGCCATCACAGAATTCGCCACCACCACCGCCTCCTCCGTCAAGTTAATTTCCGCCTCACTTAGATGTCGTCCTGCTACATTATTCCTTTCTAGTTGCTGCACCCACCCCCATTCATTGGACTTCACGGTATATCATGCTATCGCAATTCACGCAATACAATAGGCCCATCCAAGACTGCTGCAAATTGAGGACTCGCGATATGAACCAATGTCGCTTTATCCGTTCTTTCTGTGTGCTCTGTCATGTCGCGCTGCGGTCGTGCGTCCGTTCAATATTTGCTCTTTCGTGACTATCCGGACTGCTTGCCTCATGGCCAGACCTCGCAAGCTGTTTCTGACGCGATCCATAAGCACTACCCCGCTGAATTATGTCAATGTCTACTCCTGCTGGCCGACTGTTGGGCTTGCGACCGTGCAATCTGGACAGTCTGATCGTGCACGGTCACTGTCTTTCCACATCCGCGTACATCCATTTAAGAGCCACCGGTGTTGTTACACACCACACACCAGACAAATAGCTGCATGTTGTGTATGCAAGTACTGATGAGCTCCCGTTCCGAAATAAAATCCTACTGCGTGTACACTCGAAATTTGTTCATAGGGCTTGCCGTTCATCGGACGCGGGGTGAGCTGCCCGGACGCCAGGCGGTTCAAAATTCCGGTCGTTTCATTCGACGAAGCCCCATTTCTCTCTCCCCCTCATCATCCTCCTCCTTTTCTATCTCGTGCAGGTCGTCTCATCCGGTTTTTCCTCTTGGCAGTTCCCTCCGCTCTTTCATTCCTTGGCGTCCGCTGTCTCATCTGCCATGAAGCCAACTCCGGCATTCGCCCTCGCTCTTTCGGTCTCTTTGCCTCACCTCGTCTCTGCATGGACATGGCCCAACCCTCAACTGGACGAACTCGAATCCCAACGGTACGACCGCGTAGGGTACAATGCGCGAACGATGACGGCTTCGGTCAAGCCATGTACGCGGTTTGACTTTGGTGTGAGCGGAGGACGGAGCAACGCCGCGGATTGGATCAGGACGGTGCGTGTACCTTTTCCTCTTGCAGTCAACATCTCTTCTCACTGCTGTTCGGATTGTGGTTTCGATGCTGTAGGCGTATCATGACATGGCCACGTTTGACTCTGGTGCTGGGACTGGAGGAATGGATGCCTCGATCCGGTTGGAGAGGGACAGGCCGGAGGTACGTGCTCGACGCGTACACGGCAGCGGAGCCTTTTGACTTGAGCTATATACAGAACGTCGGCGATGCTATTGCAAACACACTCAACGTAGCCAACGTTGCTTCCAATCGTTATGTTTCCTGTGAGTTCTGCATTTGAACTTGAGGGTATTCTCCGTTTTAATGCTCGCGTAGTGGCGGATGAACTTGCTCTGGCGGCGTTGATAGCTATGGAGGAGTGGTGCGTAGCCATGAAATTTTCTGCATCTGAACGATCGTGCTGACGGATGTTGCTTTACAGCGGGAGTCCACAGATTGACTACAAAGGCGGTCGCGTCGATGCAACGGTAGCCAATGTCGCCGGCGTACCCCAACCTCAAGATACCCTCGACTCGCACATCGCCTCTTTCGCCCGCCAAGGGTTCACGCAAGAGGAGATGATCGGCCTCGTTGGTTGTGGCCACACTTTTGGCGGAACGCAGCATGAATTCTTCCCGGATATTGTCCCTCCCATTAGCGATCCTAGCAATACCCCCGGTCAAGTCCTCTTCGATACCACTGGTGCCACGTTCGATACCAAAGTGTGAGTACTGTCTCTTAGAGTGGAGGGAATTCCTCATCGCGTCTTGTTACGCAGCTTTACAGAATACCTGGACGGTTCTACCAAGAACCCGCTGGTGGTCGGTTTCAACGATACCACAAACTCGGACAAGCGTATTTTCGCCAGCGACAACAACGCCACGGTGACCAAGTACGTGGAACATCCTGCTGTTGTCTTCATGTTCGCCGTGTTGAACGTACCTTTCGATTGACAGACTAAGCGACCCCGGCACCTTCGCAAGTACATGCGCGTCCCTAATGGCCCGGATGTTCAACTCCGTTCCGAAGGGAGTCACATTGACCGAAGTCATCCAGCCCTTGCCCGTGAAGCCTCATGCTATGCAGCTGATCCACGGCAATGGCAGTCTCGTGCAGCTGTCTGGTGAAGTCCGCGTAAGTCTCCCAGAACCACTTCCGCCATGCAGACATCTCATACCATCGACTTCCCTCTGTTGCAGTTCTGGAACATGCAAGAGAACCCGCAGCGCACGGTCAAAATGCTCTGGGCCGACAGCACAGGCACACAGTGCAGCAACTGCTCGGCGACGCTCAGCCACGCTACGAACCAAGTTAGCACCTTCACTGTCGGAAACGTCACGTCCATGTGGTATTCCTTCATGCCGCCAACGGCGAACCTGAAATCCAGCCCCATCGCGTTGGATGACTCGCAGAGTATCGCAAAGGTTTGGTTTGAAGTTGATGAAGGAGATGGCAAGCCCGT